CCTTTAATATACACATACTTATAAGGCTATAAATTACGGTAAATCAAATTGTAGCGCGCCAATAGACCGTTGTGGATTTCAATTTTTCAATTTATTTTATTTTTGTTGTTGTTTGCGCCTTTGTGTTTTGCTGCATTTGTAGGTATTTTACTCGAAATCTCTAGCACATTTTCCGAGTTAAGTAAAAGTGCGCTAAAGAAGGCATAACAAATAAACAAAAAACCGAGAGAATTTTGTACGTAAATACAATGCCTACATATGTATGTACATACATATGTTTGTTTGTTTATATGAATATGTATATATGTATGTATATACGTGTGTATGTGCATATATGTACATAATGCGCGATTATTGTTGTGCAAAAGGCAAACTATGTTAAACAAAATGGCAAAGAAAGAAATTTAAAAACATTTGTAGTAAATTTTAAATACAGAATAAATATTTTTATTTATTTACAACAGAAATAAATAACTTCCCAAATTTTGTATAGTAAATAAGTTATATGTACATAAATACATATCGCCATCTTAATTCACAAAGGCCCCAACCAACACTTTTTTTTCGAAATTCTGTTTTTCAAATATTTTGGTAGGAGGTATTAAAATACACCTTCAATAAAAATTTAAAAAATCGGAGTTACATGCCACTTTTTACATACCCCTACCCGATACTCTTTCTATAATTTTTTTGCTTCTCTTGTAAAATAAAAAAAAAAGTTGGTTTGGGCCATTGTGAATTAAGGCAATCTTTATATTCCGAATACTGTTGTTTGTATTCATCGCATATCGTAATTTTTTTTTATCGCACCGGTAGTATCGCATCTGTTTGTGGCCACCTTTAAAGTAAAGATATGTAGGTATGTACATTAGGGTGGCCCTTAGAAAATCAAATTAACGACTTTTCAGTCTCACCCCCTCAATCGGTAATAACACGGTCACAGATATCACATATAAATTTTGGTCCCGATTGGAGTCGGTTAAGGCCAGAGCCTCTATAGACCCAAAAAATTTAAAAAATTTGGATACTAGATGAAAAAAAGTAATAATTTGAGTCTCCATAGAGGAATCTGATCTTTGCCCCCTGTGCGACACGCCTTAATCGGGACCAAAATTTATATATGATATCTCCGGCGGCCGATGTGGCGTAGTGGTAAGCAGTGCGCGCTTCCGCTCCGCAGGGCCTGGTTCAAGCCCTGGTCAAAGTAACATCGCAAAAAAATTTAAAAAAAAAATGTTTTTTTCTTAACAGCAGTCGCTCCTTGGTGGGAAATGGCAAACCTCCAGGTGTACTTCTGCCATGAAAAACAGCTTCTCATAAAAATACAATCGCCGTTCGGAGACGGCGCAAAACTGGAGGTCCCTCCGCTTTGTGTGACAACATCAAGGCGCACGCCACAAATCGGAGGAGAAGCTCGGCCAAACACTAACATATGTGTAAGCGCCAATCTATTATTAGTGTTATTATCTCCGACTGTAGTAGCATCGACTTAGGGGTTGGGAAATCTGATGTAAAAATTTGCTTCCTACATTTAAGGACCACCCTTATGTACAAATGTATGTATTTTGTAGGTAAACTTTCCCTATAATGACTCGGGTTTTACCCGACCAAAGGCTGTTGTTTCGGCGACCTAACCCCGTTTAGATCGGTGATACCCTTCAACTATTTCACGTCCATGAGCAATACCTTGCAGCCGGATTGCTTCGAATCCTTCTTCTCCGGGAGGGCGTTTGAGCATAGATTGAGAGATAGCAGTCTTCATGCACAGCAACTCAACTCTGTAGAAGTGCGTCGTCTACAATGTGCTCCGTAAAGACCGCGAGCGCGATGGTGAAGGATTAGCGTTCATCGTACACCGCACAGTGCAGTATCGTCTAATCGTAGAAGACATCAACCCGAGGTACGCTACCCTAGAATGTCAGGGCATAGCTGTCCGGTCAGGCGATGTCGAGCTCGAAATATTTAACGTGCATATACCCCTTGTCACCTGCTACCCGGCAGGATATCACCCTGAAATAGGTGCGCTACTAAGAGGTGAAAACCGAATGGTAGTAGGTGGATTCAAGCCTGACAAATGATCGCAAGGGAAACCTATTGGCTGAGTAGATAGACGATTCGACATTCTGCACTATGAACAACGACGCCCACACCAGGATTGTAGGCGGCTGCAGCCGCATGCCAGACCAAAAAATTGCTAGCGCTGGTCTGATAAATAGCACATCATGGCGACCTATGCTAACACTAGCATCAGACCATCTGCCCATAATCATCTCGATCAATAAGCCCACCGACTTTGCACCCGCTGACCACGGAACCTGTACCAACAAATCTGATGGGAACGGCTTCGTGGAAGTTACCGAGAGCAGCTTCGCCGCCCTTCCCACACCCTCAGACGTACACGCTGTCAAACGCCAGTACCGTAGGGTAGTCACTGCCACAGTGGCTCGCTTCATACGAACGGGACGCATCGCGAAAGTCCGCTCAAATTTCCCAGCTGAAACAGATCTCTTATCACTCCTGATGTGTTGGAATCAGGGAGAGTGGTCCCACTGCTGAAAACGGGAAAACCCGCCAAAAAGCCCGATAACGCTCCTTTCCCCGATCGCGAAGATACTCAAGGCCCTTCTACTCCCGTACTTCAGCTACCACCTGACGCCAGCGAAGCATCGGCATGGCTTGCATAAAGTGCACAGAACAACAACGGCTTTTAACGCCATAAACACCCAAATAACTCGTGGCACCGCAAACGCCTCAACAAAGTACAGAGCCGCAACAAGGTCCTCAAGTCGCAAGCTATAGGCTTGTCATAACGCAGGATGGTATCCTGTCCGGACAGCGACAGGATGCGTTCTGATGTCGCCTGAGCACCACCTACACAGTGAAGCCCAGCAGTTTCTGGTGGGATGCCACAGAAGTCAACACCCCAACAGACCTTTGCTGGAGGAGGGACCTGCGCCCAGGCACTTCAGGGGGTACCTATTCGTATACAAGGACGCGGTCCATATATTTACAGACCAACCACTGGACCCGACGACGTACCGACGAGCGATCAACGACATTCATAGGGTGTCGGTCACGGCCTACCACGACTCCCGGTCTATGAATGCTGTCATCGGAGCCCAATCACCACCTGTAGCAGTGACGGAGCTTCAACTGCCAAGAGAGACACGCGTTACCCTGGCCCAGTTACGGTCTGGATAGTGTTCGCCTCAACAGCTACCTGTCCAGACTCGACCCCAATATCCCCAATGAGTACCCGGCGTGTGCAGACTCTTTGCACGACACCAACCACCTCTTCACATACCAGCTCAATCCAACTCAGCTGACACCTGTCTCCCTTTGGTCCGACTCTATTGAAACAGCCCGTTTCCTGGGACTACCGTTAGTTGAGCTTGACGACAATTATTGAAGGAAAAATCGAAATAGGCGGGGCTTAGTAGTGCCGCTACAACAACAACAACATGGGGCGAATCGATGACGGCTGTACAAGAAAGCAAGTTTGGGTGTTCGTGGTAGCCGAGTGGAGAGTTGCGTGCTACAAGTCTGTAGGTGCCAGGTTTCATCACCAGCGGTTGGAGCGATTGCCAATTTTTTTTGTTTGCATTTAATTAATTTTTTTTTATTTTGTTTAATTTATATACTTAATTTTATTTTCATTTATTTTATTTTTTAGTGTTTAATTTTCTTTAAAAATGTTATATAAAAAATAAATAGAAAATAAATAAATGAAAATTCTGGTGGCCGTGGGACTCGAACCCACGACCTTGCGGATCGTCAATCTGCTTTACTGCCGTCTGTTAAGGCAGAATTTAATCCGCATTAACGCTGCCGTCTGACTATGCTCTTGCTATATCTACGCTCAACACAATGGCCATAGCGAATTTTTACAAGGTACACCAAGACCAAGACGAATTTATACAAGGTGGTGTCACTGCCGAATTTAGATTACAACAACAACAACCACATGTATTTGGATTGTGGGTGTTATGTCAAATCTCAATTCGCCCCATAGTTTACATGTATTTTGTGTTTGCTTGTGATGGATGTGCTGTCAAATAAGTAAATGCAAACACAAAATACATGTAAGGCGAAGAAATCAGCCGATTTTACAACACCACCTTGTATAAATTCGCCTTGCACCACCTTGTATAGATTCCCAAGGCGTAATATGAAATCGCCTTGTTTACAACAAACACATGTTTTTGACATTAGGAAGTACCGTGGCGAAAATCTAAATTCGCCAGTAACTCCACCTTGTATAAATTCGCCTTGACCCGAACTTTTTCTTGTGGTAAAATCAAGGCGAATTTATACAAGGTGGTGTTGATGGCGAATTTATACAAGGTGGTGTTACTGGCGAATGAAGATTTTCGCCGCGGTACTTATCAATGTCAAAATGATTTGTGTTTGTTGTAAAATGAATTCGCCTTGCATACAACAAACACATCTTCTTGACATTAAGAAGTGCCGTGACGAAAATCTAAATTTGCCAGTAATACCTTGTATAAACTCGCCTTGACCCGAACGTTTACTTGTGGTAAAATCACGAAAACTGTGAAGCGATCGGCTGTTTGACGTTTTTCCAGGAAAAAGGCTTTTGGTTTCCCATACTTTTTGGTTGTTACTCACTTTGTCTCTCACTTAAGAGAGAATTTTTGCTGTTTCACATTTTTACAGGATTTTACACGAAAAGTATTGAATCAGCAGAGGAATTCTAACAATCACTACGATGAATTTTTGCCGCTAAAATTCTCTAAATAAAAAGCAGTGGTGCCTAAAAGTATACAACAGGGAAGAGTAACACATGAAATGTTTAAGCAGCCAAATCTTGCAGTATGAGGGGAATGTAACTAGATGCTGCGTGTGGTTAGGGGCCCCTGCTATCCTTTTGGAGATTTTTGGCAATCAAAATTAGCGATTGCGAATGTTGGAATCCGGCTGCAGAGCTATTAAATACGCCTTGAGTTCGCCTTGAAAATGGCCAAACAGCTGAGGTTAGCAACACTATTTTGCAAGACTTGGCCGCACTGGCAGCTGCGGATGAATTTTTCTTGCATTTACTACTAGTCACTACAAGTTCATCTTGCTGATTCTGCTCACAAAATTTTTGGTGTTCGTCGTGGTCATTCTTCTCCTGGTTCTAGCTCGCAAAACTTTTAATAAAAGTAAGTAAAAAATTGCCTAAACGAGTGTTAAATTGAAAATAATTAATGCTTGGAATGCATAAAAAGTGAAATATTCGACGGCATTTACACAAGAACGTGAGCTGGGTAAAACCAATTTGAGACGGGAAAGTGATTTCATAACCTATAAAAGGGTGCGTGTGTCTGTCTCACGGTGGCTTATGTGCATTTTAAGGGGACAGCAGGCAGATAAACTGGGGACCCAGCGGTACTATTGTCGCTACTCTTTTTTTTCGATTATTAAGGAGAAAAGGCATCTAGAAAGGTTTAGCTCATCGTTATTGCTATGAGTGGTGTACGTGTGGTTAATTTCTTAAACCCCTACCCCTCCCCGCATTCTACACCCTATTAATCCCTCGTTGAGGCTTTATGAAATGTTGGAGTACAGATTTCGTCACTGACTTATAAACAAATGCTTTTACTATATTGCAATAAACAGTTGCAGATTGTATGCTAAAGTAATTGACCGGCAAACTGAATATACCGCATTGAGAGCGCCAAATAGGAGAGGGCTTCATTTGCTATATTTCGCTGTTACGTAACGAACTATGAAAATATTCGCAATGATGTCTAATTTGTGACAATTTTTCCGTCGCGTTCCCAAATTGCTGTTAAATGGGTGGGTGTTATCATCGGAGTGATTAAATAGGTAAGAAATTTCCGGAAAATGTGACTCGCTATCTTTCAAATTTCCGATCACTGATTGTCATGTGAGAGTACATTACCTTTAATTCAGCAAATATCCAAATGTGTGTAGATACTCTCGATTTCGCACTGTCATACATAATTAAATACATACATATATGCACATAAACTTGTATGCACAATCATACTTACATATATGGAGGAGCAAACCTTGCTGCTGATATCTTGAACAAGTTCTGATATGGCAATTTGCATCTTTCAGCTAAGTATTTTAAGATAATGGAGCACACCTTTTATCTTTATATGTATGTATGTATATGTCCCAGGCTTATGCAAAATATATTTTGTCTAAACATTTATTGAACATTTAAAGTAGAAATTAATGCGAACTGATTAGGTAGTATAAATATAAATACGCCTTAGAGCTGATAAATTGAGATTTTATACGTATTTTAAAGCTCACTCCAAACCTCTGACGTCATTCAAATCAATACCAAGGTGTCAATGGTGTCACTTGAAAAATGGGTACATAACGGATTAATATTGAGCTAGTTACAAATAATAAATAATACAAATCAAGCATTCGCTACAAAATTAATAGAGCGGTTTGTTCCCTTAGACCATAATTTGATTAATTCATTGCTTTACGCCTTCTTTGTTGCATATTTCCTTTCAAGTGTTCTTTGTTGCCACAAACAACCCTCATTTTGGAATTTCCTTTTACTGTGGAAGAAAGGCATTACATAAATATGTACATAATAATATGCCACTGCTGTGGTTTAGCGAACGCTACTATGCCTTCAAAAGTCCAACATCACTGCTAGTGTAGCAAACCCCATTGTTGGCGTTGCAGTATATTTTTATTCCCATTTATAAAATACCATTTCTACACATCTCATCACCAAGATCGTGAGCGTCCGTGTACTCTTCGTCCACTGATATGATTCCTCAATCGAATTCGAAGGTGCCACCGCGAGTTCTAGCTCATTTTTACTTCCAGCCATCTTGGTTAAACAAAAACAGGGTCAGGGATAAGCGGGGCATTGACTCAGCTGGACAAGAGGCAAGTCTACAGGGCAATTAACGAGTCTACAAATGCTTGGTAATAGTTGTACGTGCTTGCAGATAGGTACATATTTACAAATATTTATATCTACATATGTATGCATGTGCACATAAGTGTGATGGCCCCAATAACAGCCCGTTTCCATGCAACATAAAAATGTGTTACATCATCATAGGAAAAAACTAAATATTTGTAATTTTACCGTTGTGATTGCTAATATATATGTATGTACTGCTACGTTTGAATGTATGTTTTGTGCCTTGTGTTGGCTTTATTAGCTGCGGCATTTCTTAGTCAGTTCAACTCAACAACAACATTTTCATATTTTTACGCTCTGTAAAATTTCGTTGCCTCTAATTTAACACATTTGCATACATACTATGTAGTATATGAAAGTATGTGCACACATGTGTAGGACATAGACACATTTATATGGACACTCGAAATAATATATATTTTAATATTCTCTTGTGAGGCTTTCGTGAAGCATATGCTGGCAGGTGACTTGTCTGCTGACGTTGTTCGAAGGTTGCCTGATTTCTTCCCCAACTGTATTTTTAAGTTTTGTTGTAGAACACGTGATGGCGATGGTGATTTCAGTAATCCCGTAAAAATTTGAACAAGTCACAAAATGCAACTGCCGGACCACGTTTAAATTTTGCTGTAGGATTAGGAGTCTTGAGCTGCGAATCAAATATTTTTTAAAGCCATTGAATTTTACTGTGATTTTAAGTTACTATTAATTAAGCTCGGGTAATTCGTTGAATAAGATATAATAATCAGTAAGGTTATTTCTAGGGGTAGATGCAGTTTGAACATTGCTTTATATATTCTATGTACATATGTACCTATGTAAAAAAATATGTAAGTAATTCCTCTTATTTACATACATATGTACATACACTATATAGCCCCAGGGGGGTGTTTATGGTAAACTCTCAGTAAAAGCTAATTGAAACATGCGCGATCAATGGTTGATCGCAAAAAGTATCTCGATTAGCTCTCAATCAAAGTTTCGCGCCGTACATTTAACAAACGTATATATTCGCCTATATATCTATCAATTCAGCGTTCTCCATTCTCACTCTCTCTCTTGGATTCCCACATTGGTTTCGCTTGGAGTTCGCACGCAGATGCGGCAACATTAAAACATCAGTGATCAATCTTTACACATATAAGTTTGCCGGCTACTTTGTAACGTCATCCGTGTTTTGTAAAACACAAATACATTTATATAAAATGTGTTTGGACGGCAGCGTTCAACGACCTTTGTGGTTTACTTTATATGGTCTTCAACGTTCATCACTGTGTGTGGTTGCAGTGGAGTTCATGCTGTTTACTTCGTGGTAAGGGAACGTACCCATACTACGTGTCCCGTTCAGTGATGGTGATCTTAAAAATACTACGCTTGGTCACAATGAGGGGCGGGGGGCTTAGGTTTTTATATCGTAGTCAATATCCTCTAAGGAAATCTAGCGTTTTTTTTTTTTAGCTCCATTCAAATATGGCGCGCAGTGTTTGGCGCTTTTTAAACCCACATGACTTTTGTTTCTATAAATTAAGTTTTAGTTTCTATAAATTAAGTTTGCCGTCACGAGCAAGATGAATTTAAATGGGGTTTGCTAAAATATAGGCCATATTTTAATACAAAATTAACAAAAAAAATTTAGCATATAAAACTGCGAAAATTAACAAAAAAAGAGGCGTACGCTCAATTTTGTGAGTAACAGTACATATAAGCCAAATATTTTTGTTTACGTTGTGTTAGAAAGAAATGAATTACTACGTGAAAGTTGTAGAGGGAGGCGAGTCTGGAAATATACTATATATATACAGGCCACCGAGGGGGAGGGGGGTTAAAAATTAAGCTATATATATAAGCTATATATATAATTTATTTACGTTCCTGCAGATATGCGCTATGGCATGTTAATGTGTATGTATGTTTGGTAACATATACACATTGTACATGTGCATCATTTTCAATCTGCAAACATATTTTTTGTAATGCTTATATGTATTTGCCACTTAGTTAAAATAATTGCCAACTGGACACTTTGCGAAACCTACCTGAAATATTTACTTTTTACGAGTGCTTTTCTGTCTGTCTTTCCATCAGAAATATCAACATTTTAGTACTGATTTTTTTTTCATAACTCAAAATAAAATAAAAATCGTTTGTATAAGTATCTATATTTTAGATCTGCAGATTTTTATAATAACACGCGTGTATCTTAAATTTTATACATACCTGCATTATTTCTACTTGCCTTCGCTTTCATCTGTAGATGGCTCCTCCATCATACCCAGATCTTGGCAAACAAGCTCGCGACGTCTTCAGCAAAGGCTACCACTTTGGTCTCTGGAAGTTGGATTGTAAAACCAAGACACCATCTGGCATTGAATTCAACACAGCCGGTCACTCCAACCAAGAGTCTGGAAAAGTCTTCGGTTCTTTGGAGACAAAATACAAAGTTAAGGACTATGGCTTGAGTTTAACCGAAAGATGGAACACAGACAATACTTTGTTCACCGAAGTGTCGGTCCAAGACAAGTTGCTGGAAGGATTGAAGCTTGCATTCGAAGCTACATTCGCTCCTCAATCTGGGTGAGTAAAATCATTGCATGTAAAAATGTGACATCTTTACTAACGAAAACAACTTTCTTATATATTTTGAAGCAACAAAACTGGCAAGTTCAAGGCTGCCTACGGTCACGAAAATGTTAAAGTCGATTCGGACGTGAATGTTGATCTGAATGGTCCACTGATTAACGCTTCAGCTGTTTTGGGTTATGAAGGCTGGTTGGCTGGTTACCAGACTGCATTCGATACCCAAAATAACTCTTTGAAAACCAACAACTTTGCCTTGGGCTATGCAGCCAAGGACTTCGTGCTCCACACAGCTGTGTAAGTTACTACAACCTTTGCCTTTTTAATTAAGTTTTTGTTTCAATTGTTTGTACTTTGTTTACAGCAATGATGGCCAACAATTTACGGGCTCCATTTTCCAAAAGTGCACTCCCAAACTCGATGTTGGCGTCCAATTATCATGGACATCTGGTGGTAACAACACCACATTCGCACTTGGAGGCAAGTACCTCATCGACGATGACATCAATGTCCGCGCGAAGGTGAACAATGCCAGCCAAGTTGGTTTGGGCTACCAACAGCGGGTACGCGACGGCATCACAGTCAGTCTATCCGCCTTGATCGATGGCAAGAACTTCAATGCTGGTGGTCACAAGATTGGTGTTGCCTTGGAGTTGGAAGCTTAAAATAATTATGTTATGAGAACATCAAGTATAGTAATAAAATCAGAACATCGTACTATTAAAAACGGTAATTAAATTATAACAGAAACCTAACAACAAGAAATAAAGGAGACCAAAATCATTTTATGTGTAGCGAATACAAGGTAACTCGGAAGTGTTGTTCCAACAACGAAAAGTGTGTTAAATGGATGATAAATCGGGTTGGCTTTCCAAAACGGAACCAGTCGAGATTTCGGCGAAAGTTTAAGGAATTTCGTCATGAAACTTGGTGAGGAAGTTGGGGAGGCCTTTATCTGAATTGATCACTATTACAATGTAGTTACTAATAGTATTTAAGCAATTTGTTAAATTATCTCCACTTCTACCACCAAATTTTTATAGAAAACTCCACTTATAACGTATATTTTGTGTGATATATTTGCAGTGCGCACTTGCGTATATAGTTCTTTTAACAAGTAACTAAATCTATTTAAATTTACCTTTGGTTTTACTAATTTATATTAAAGGCTTCAATTTCAGTCCCCTGTAAGGATGATATCATTAGCAATGTGAATAAGAAAATGTAAACAAATAAATGTTAAATCAAACTCCGAGTTTCTTAACACCACGATGAGCACGCTTGACAGCTGTTCATAAACACAAAAGCGTAAACTCGAGTTTATGGCGCAATGTGACCATAATTTAGACAAATATCTTTTACTAAATATTTTATATCGAAAATTTGCATAAAATATAAATTTATTGGACGTTGCAGCTCTGCAGATCTTGAATTCAAACACAAACTTGGCAGCACTTTAGGAGAAACTGACAACTTAAATTTACGTTCTCTGGATGTCACTTTTGACATTTGCGTTCATTTTGAAATTACAAACGGAAAAGCAAAAAGCGCGATAGTCCGCGATTTTGCTTGCAAGCATTTAATTAAGCTCTTAATTAATTCCAGAATCCCAAGAGTTTATAGTTTTAAAAGTATTTCAAGATGAAAAAACTACAAAAGAAACCCCCGAATAGAACTGATTTAGCTAAGATGATAAAAGAAGTGCCTGAAGAATACCAACACCACATTCAGTCAATGTCGCTTAAAATGATGCAGCACCCCGCATATGGACATCCGTAAGTGAAATTGATTTCAATATTTTGTAGCAAAATCATAACAATTTTTTATAGTTACGAGTGGAGTACCAGAGATTTTGAGATGGGCGCTCCCTTAGGACGTGGAAAATTCGGGCGCGTCTACCTAGCTCGCGAACGCACTTCTAATTATATAGTAGCTATGAAGGTAATGTTTAAAGCTGAACTTGAGAAGGGAAATGTACAGCGACAAGTTTTGAGGGAAATTGAAATACAAACTCGACTGAAGTGAGTAAATAAAGCAAATGCATTTATCAAGTTGACCAATGATATTCAACGGCATCTTTATAATAAATTTAGGCACCCAAACATTTTGCGTTTACTCACATGGTTTCATGATGAAAGTCGAATTTATCTTGCATTAGAAATTGCATCGGAAGGAGAATTGTACAAACATTTACGCAATTCCCCACATCGACGTTTTGAGGAACAACGCGCCGCTAAGTATACATACCAAGTGGCTGATGCACTTGAATATTGTCATTTGAATAATGTAATACACCGCGATTTGAAGCCAGAAAACATATTGCTGACGTCTTCAGATGATGTCAAATTAGCTGATTTTGGTTGGTCGGCACACACACTATCTAACAAGTAAGTTTCTGCTCTTATTTTGTGCATGCATTTTATATGTATGTACCTAGCTAATTTAATTTTTTTCGCAACAGACGTAAGACTCTGTGCGGCACTTTAGATTATTTGCCACCAGAAATGGTGGATGGTCATATATACGATCACACCGTCGACCAGTGGTGCTTAGGTATTTTATGTTATGAATTTTTGGTGGGTTGTGCACCCTTCGAATCGAATGATAATGAGAAAACTTACGAAAAAATTAGACGATTGGAAGTTCATTATCCTAATCATTTGAGTGCTGGAGCTAAAGATCTTATTTCTAAGGTACCTAATAAAGTTTGTTTGAAAGCGCTTAATTAAATTTTAACACAATTTCAGTTGTTGCGTAAATCGAATAATGGCCGCATAACTCTCGTAGAGGTAATGAAACATCAATGGGTTAAGGAGAACATGGCTAAACGGAACGCATATATAGCGGAGAAATTGAAGCGTGAGAAGGCTCTTGAGTAGTCTGCATTTACTTAGTTTTTGAAAGCACATTTATATGTATACTTTTTAATTTAATATATTGCCGTTTTCTAATAATATTGATCATTCATTAAAAAAAGCCGTTTACTTAATCGATGAAGAATGTCGAGGTTTGAGTTTCTAGGTTCGGAGTAACCCAAGCCAATAATTGAGGGAAGAATTTCGTAATTTTCGTAACTGCTTAATAAAATTATGATTATAATTAATCTAATCGTAATTACGAAAATGTTGATTTCGATTCACTGATATTCGGTACACGTTTAGTAGTTAAGTAATAATGTAAATCAAAATGAAGCTTAATGTACTGCGTGTCTAGTGACGATATGTACATGCATATGTATGTATATTAAAAGTGTTCGAAAAGCAATACAATAAAGTAGACTTCATTTTTGGAAAGAAAAGTATAATGGGGCGGATTCTTTGTTTCGTACGGATCGAAAATCATGGAATTTTCCTATAATTTTTTATAAAAAAAAAAACTCAGTGCGTGTAGTCCCTACGCGCGGAGGAAGTGAAACTTAATTGAGGAAATGCCTGAAAGAAAGAAATATGCGATACACAAGCAAATGTACATATTTTCTAATATACAAAAAACATATTTATTTAAAATTTTGTTTACGACAGTTCATCAGATTAATCTGCATCTTCATTTTCATGTTCATGTTCATGTTCATGTTCATCTTCATGTTCATCTACATCTTCATCTTCATCTTCATCTTCATCTACGTCTTCATCTTCATCT